ACATGTTAAACCTAACTGGCTTGTAATTCTCTAGTTTTTTCTCTACCTCTGGAGTGTCTTTAAAAAAAAACATGTTAGATTGGTGACTTTCTAATTCACTTATTCAAAGGATGATATTATTGATATGCTTTTGCTGGAAGATCTGATCTAAATTCTTTTAGAATTCATGAATGGATACAATCTGGTCCTAGACATGTGCTTGCTTTTAGTTTGTCAAACTGTCAAAAGTTCATTGTCACCACTATTTGCTTCTGTTTCTCAGCAACCTTCCTCAGTTCAGGCAAGGGGACATTGTGTTCTGAAATAGCTTAATTTAACAGCACTTCAAGACAACAAGTCTTTCCAACAAGTCTTCTGATTATGCATTTAAAGGAAACAGAGCTAGACTGCACTGATTGGTCTATTTAAGGCAATGATTCTAAAACTCTGGTCCCTGGACTACTGGTGATCCACGGACATCCACCATAGCTTACTTGCATTCACCATCAGTCAGCTGGCTAGACCAGAGTCCACTCACCACCTCAACTGTACCTCCCCATATTCACTGCCAATGGCTAAAAACGGATTAATTAAAATATATAAATGAGTAGCAATGTGAACACAGAAAACTGACAATAGTGAACAGGTCTCAAGTGCAGTTAGTAACTGTGAGTTTACATGTACTGTGACTAAGTGGAAGTGTGATCTTGCATAAGCACCCAAAAAGAAAATTCATAATGTAAAATGTTTGAGAAACACTGATTTAAGGTTATTAGAAACAGGCATATTTATTTTTCTTTTGTGTGTGTGTATGTATGTGTATGCCTTTGAGTCACTGTTGACTCCTGGCAACTGCCTGGACAAGTCCCTGCAGTTTTTGGGGGAAGATTTCAGAAGTATTTTGCCACTGCCTCCTTTCTAGGCCTGAGAGAGATTGGCCCAAGGTCACCCAGCTGGCTTCCGACTAGAATTAATTGCCTTCCAGTTTCTAGCCTGATGCCTTAACTACTACACCAAACTGGCTCAATAATTGCTAATAATTGCTAATAATTGCTAATAGTACAATTAAAGAATCATTTAGATTCCTTTTCCTGGGCAATCAAACATAATCTTCAGAATTAAGGCTTATTGAACTAAGACTTTGGGGGCAATTGCTGGTTTATTCCCAATTATTCAGCTGTGCTTGAGTTTCACACAGTGAAACTGAATGGCAATTAAATTGGTTTAACATCATTTCTTGCAATCTCTAGGTTTTCTATTTGCTTGTTTATTTTGAAGGCAAAAGTCCAGCTAACTTTGGTTTGGATCCAGAGAACCATGAGCAGATTTTGACATTGCTCCTTTGTCCCCTCCTTCTCATTGTAGTCAGTTGGGCATTCTGGAAAGTCATTTTTGAGTCACAGTGTGCAAGACAAAAAGGTGGGGAGGATTGGCAGTAGAGTTATTCCAACAGATTAAGGGCGGCTATTATGTACTCCCCGGAAATATTTCCAAATATATCATTTCTCCCACACCTTACAGACATAGATTTGTATTTAATGCATGTAATCATACTCTTCCTATCTTTCTCATGGTATTTACAGTTAGTTGCTACTGATCAGCAAAGGCAAAAGATGGTTTGGGGAGAGGGGTTTCCATTTGCTCCCACAGGTGCTTTGTTGGATCCATGCTACCCATTTCTAAACCTTTTCTTTACATTATCTGTTAAACATTTTGAGGACCATAAACTAGAGCACTTATCCCTTAAAATGATACCTCCTGGACCATTTAATTTAAACATTAAATTAAAATAGTTGAAATATTGTATGATAGGCAACTTTTAACATTTTGGCATTTATTTTGATGTCTTTACCAGATACCATCCACAGTAACCTTGTCAGCCCTAATCCTGACCTGAATACAAATTGGGACTCACTGATCAGCTGTTGTCCTTCTGCTTCTGATCTGGCAGACATCCATGGACAAGAAAAAGAAAGAAAGGGGGGGGGGACCCCAGGCCTAACGAGACATTACATAGTCACTTGCGTTTCTTGTGCCATGTCACATACTGAACTGCACTAATTCTTGCACAATAATTGTGCAAGGGGCAGCACTATTGCCAGAATTTCTCCTTCTTACAATTCTCCGGACTCAAACTGTTATTGTTACATTCTTTCTGAAGCATGCCAGAATCACTTTCCTAGCAACATGGATGGGTGATTGAACTTGGGAGACTGGAGTCCATCTTTCATAAAAACATCTTTGCAGTTGAGGAGAGATTTGAAAGGAAGATTTTCATGCATATGATTTGATGACCACATGCCAATTAAAAAAAAAACCACTTCAGCAAATTGTTTAGGATGATGAATATCACACAATGAAAACATAGGAAGTCCTTCATTGTCATTAGCTAGATAATCACACACTTTATTGAAATGATAACAAGACCTTTTGGGATGATGAAGACCTTATGAGAGCCGAAGAAAGCCAGTGGCTGGCGGTATATGTGCAAAGGAAATAATTATTTTGATCGTAGAATCTGTGAGATCATTGACGATTATGTGGTGAGAACTGAGAAAAACCTGTGACTTGCAGCTTATTGGGAAAACAAGAGAATTAATCATTGCACTGAGAGAGGATAACGTGGCCACAGTGGTCCTAGCAATTTACGATTGGTCTCATCATATAGCCCCGGGGTAGAAAAAAGACAAAAAAGTTGGCCACCGGGTGACTGGGTTCACACAACACGCTGAATTATAATGTAGTTGCTCGATTATAGTTCTTGCAGCGGCTCGGTTTGGGTGGAATTCCCTGCCCCCACCTTCCCAAATTGGAGACGGGAGCGGAGGGGGTTGATCCAGCCGCTCGCTCGCTCTCGATTAGTGGAGGTGGAGAGTCCCAAACCCACCCAGCCAGACGGAGACGGGAGGATTTGCAAAGTCTTTTTGGAGGAAACGCCGCCAGAAGCCACTTCCTGCCAACTTGCGCTGCCGCGCGCCTCCAGCCAGAGCTTTCCCGCACCGCCCGGGACTGGAG